AAGTAAGACTTGAGTAATTTTTCCAGCTGAGACTAAGATATATATATGTATATCGAAGATCGTTATTTTGCGTGAGAGCTCGGCGATATCATGTAGTTCGTGAATCATAAAGGAGAATGGTATACATATTTCTCTGTTGAAAGGTGGTGGCTCGCACCATGACTATGACACATCATAATTGTAACTTTATAATGATAGGCGGGATCAATACAAAGACAAAGAAAAGCACTAGTATATTGTACATATAGACGTACATCGAGAGGTAAGAAACGTTTATCACTGCGTTAACGCGAACGAGACGACGAGATTAGCAGCGTGTGCGTGCAATTCGAATATCGTCTTTGGAACCGTGTTCCTTTTCTGTCCCTGTTGGAACGAAATTTCGTTGAAACACTAACGAAACAGATTGTTCTTATATAGGGATGGAACAGAATTTTTTGACGCGAAGTTCAGAACGTTATCGACATATCGGAGCCTTCGGTTTCATAACGAAACGAAGGGTGAAGGGACGAGAGAACGACGAGTTTGTAAGATTTCCAAGTCAAATGTTCGTTTAGCGATGCTAATTCTCACGACATTCAACTAATTAATCATTCGACTCGTTATGTTCCATGTATTTATACCAGATGAATACTATTAATAGCATTCGCAATATCTAGTAAGTAGGTGATGTTACCGTTATAACATTAAAAATACTATTTATATATCTTAATGTAACGCCGCGTAAGGAGTAGATATATCAGAGACATAGCCATTCGTATATAAATCGTACATGCGTTGAATTTAAACGTAACAAAGATCGCTTCTCTGTCGTTGAACACTTTCGAAATTTCGAAGAAAAAACGAACGACGAAAGAAAAGGGTAAGAAAAATGTACGAGACAAACGAGATCGCGATGTGAATTCAAATCAGCATAGTTAATTTTATGAAATTATTCGTAACGAGAAAAAAATAAAAGAAATATTAAGGAACGTTGTTCTCCGTATTGTTAACGTAGGACGATTTAACAGTGTAGAATTTTATACTGACATCAGGCACTTCGTTGAGATAGAGATTCACAAGAGTTCATAGTTGTCACTTCGTTAGGTGTTAAAGAAGAGAAAAAAAGAAAGAAAAAAAAAGAAGAAAATAATTGAAAAGAAACTGCCCGTCACTCGCGAGTAACATTAGAAAAACGAATCATAGTTGCGTTTAGATTCATCGATATAAGCATATTGCTGCCTTTGGCTGTATCGTTGCCCCCTACTGCTAACGAGTAACTCACTTGTCTACTCATGTGATAATTTAGTATATCTCTGCGTACCTACCTGTACCTACACCGGTTCGGAAATCTCAGTAGTGAAAAGGATTATTTGTCTTTACGCTGCGTTTCTATCTCAATTCGTCAACTGACAGAACTATCTTTATTCGTAGAAAACAAAAATGAATATCAAGCGATAGATTTTCAAAAAATAATAGAAATTAGTGAAAGAATCATCTCAGTCTTGTAAAAGATCACATAGATTTGCTGCTGATTGGATCAGCACACATTACCTTTCCCTTTATTTGAACGTTTAACCTACCTGTGCATTATTTCAATAGCTTGTCACTCTTTTCAACGCTTGTTAAAAGTTATTAAATAAGAAAGAGCATTCAAGCACTGGGAATAGAGACGAAAAGAGAACGTAATCTTTTAAGTTTCGCACAGTGCAGCGAATTTTTTCTTTCGTTTCTCTTCTTTCTTTCGGAAAGATGTTCTGTCGGTAGATGTTCTCCATCATTATTACAACGATCGCTTGAAAAAAAAAAAAAAAAAAAAAAAAAAACACTCGTTTCAACGAACCTAATGTTTCATGAACGTCGCCTCGGTTCGTGAGCTCTACGTTGATTTCGACGATCCCAGTTAACGGGGTGAATTGGCAATCGGTCGAATTTTCTGTAAAGCGAAAGCGTTTTACTCTTTTATTTCAATTAGAAGAATGTTTTGCGACAAGTGTACGATCGACAATCACGCTTAAGCCTCAAGGCTTCCTGGATTGTTCAATCTTCGATGTTAGTGCTATTGCAAACGGTATTGACAGTGAGAAGCGAATTGCGAAACAAGTGGAATTGCCGTTTCGTTCCGATTTTCTCCTTAGAATTTTGCAATCGTGTCCACCGCAAATTTTACACACGACTTTGCAAAATATTCTCGTTTATTTTACACGATGCACCTGTTCACAAGTATACGTTTTGCATGATACGAAGTAACACAAATTTTCTACACACAGGGTGTTTCTACGTTGTTGCCTTGCAGAATGAAGAAAATATTCGAAAAAGAAACTAGTCGTCCTTCTATACAAGATATTTATGGGAAGACTTGAACAAACTTAACTTCGGTATTTTAAAAAAAAATACTCAACACAGATTATATTTATCGTACACCGAAGTGGGGAAATTACGTGTAACTTCGACAGGATTAATTTACGTATCTACGTTTACTGAATGTTTCTTGTTTATTTTTATCAGCGAAGCCACAGCCTCCCAAAATTCAAGACCCTTTTCGCTGTAAGTGTTGAAAAACTTATCGCGAGTATCATGTAAAACGAACTTTCCATGGATTTGATTCTTTCGAGCAAATTTCTTTGCAATTGTGAAAGGGCAACATTAACTGTGGGACTTATTGAATCTGATTTCCGGCACACCCGATTGTTAATCCGACGTGGAATTGAGAGAAATGTAGAGGTAATCGCGGAAGACTGTGGAGAGCTCACCTAGCTATATCTTCTATTCAGGCACGGGCAATCTCTGGCTTTTTCACTATAGCATACTGCCGTACTATTCAACGTTCGGTTTTAAAATCGAGCAATTTTTTGTTCCACGTTCTTCTCTTCGTGAAACGATAAGTTAAAGAAAAACACGAAGAATTAATTACATCGCGATATGTTGCTTAAAAAATTATTTTGTAGCGACTTTACTCTTTTCCGTGGCTTTTACTTTAATATAAAACGATATATCGTAGTCCTTTCTTTTTCTTATTTTTTTATTTTTATCGAAAAGAACGAAAAAGCGTTATAAACTTTTAATAATCAATGTTCGTCGTCGGGTAGCATCACGATAAAATTTGATGCTGACCGGTAGATGTTCTTCCCGGCAACGAAAAGAAAGAAAGAAAAATTAAACGTAATATTACAGAATCTGTAAATATCGCATTCCAGAAACCTGGCAAAAGTGAAACTTTCATCTGGATACTTATCATTATTAACATGTTAAAAAAAAAAAGAGGGAAAAGGAGATAGAAGGAAAGGGAGAGAAAACCTGCTAATAGGCCGTGAAAGGTTGCCTAGGCCTGCTCTACGCTATTAAACCTTAATCGTTATAGTCACAAAATTATTTTGTACTAAGAACTGTTTATAATTTTGTATCTAATCTCTGTAAATACCAAGCAGATTGTCTATGGCTAATAAAGCTTAAACAAAATCGATATAAGTAGAAAAATTTCACAGGAGGACTGGTAATATACCAATGTACAACGATCTAGGAATTATTTGTACTATACAGGTGACAATTTAAGGGACAAATCATAAAAGTATACATGTTACTCGATAGCCACACATGTGTATAGGGTACTCCATTACATATTTATTCTGAAATTCCAAACGAGAATAATTATTTTTAGCTATGAGAAAATAATTGTTTCACTTCGTTGTAAATTATGAACGAATTACATAAAATATGGTATAAAACGCAAAGATATAATAAATGCTCCTAAAGTTGCTTATCGTGCTTGATCAATGAGAAAAATTATTTTCTTCTCGTGTACTTTCAGTTCAATCAAATACGCTAACAATTAATTTACATGTAAAGAAAGGCTTGTCAAGGAATTTTAGAAGAAAATATTTTGGCTCTTGGAAAACCCTGTACAATATTAAGGTGTAGAATCCAACTAGTCATTTATGACAGATAACAACTAAAATAAATCTTTTCCAAAAAGAATACGACAACGGAAAAACGTATTGTTCTGAATTATATTTCCGTTTTAAAAAGGAAGAAGCAATTAGAATGTTCACACTCTAAAAATAAATGTTTTCACATCCGTATTTAAAATAATTTTCTTCTAATTTGTTTTCGATTATAATTGTACATTTGTACGCTGTTATGAATGAAACATAATTGTCAGCTATTGTATTACTTTTATTTCTATCTATCTGTGCAAACTATCACTTAAACGCTCTTGACGGTAAGCTAAGTCTCGCGCAAGTTAATTCTATTCGTATATCTTATATATATGTCTCGATAAAGGCGGAAGTACACGTTGTAAGTTCAAGTACGCGGGAAGCACAACGATAAAACCTATTTGTATCGAACAGTCAAATGAAACGATATTACACATTTCAATGAAAATCTATGATTTAATGGAGTTCTTACTTTTCCCTTTCTATATTAAACAAACATAAAGCATATGCAAAACAAAATTACCTTATTATCCTCCAACTTATGTTACTAAAAGTTTGAATACAATTTACATTACATATTGCGTTAGTTCCCGCCAAAAGAATAAGTGTTCCTAAAAGTATATTCTACTACACATCGCATGGTTAATAATGTAGAATCCATATAATTAAATTTTACGCGACCTATATGATCCTTTAAGTAAATACCATAAAGTGAATTAAAAATGGTTTTGAATATGGTTAAACAATACAGAACATTTAAATTTATTAATTACAAAAATACTATTAAATATTTACTTGAAATATTAAAATGCCACTTTGAAAGGATTAATGTGACAAAATAACCAACAAAATACAATCATGATTTATTTTCTTACGTATGATACAAATGAATAATAAAAATGTATTAAATATTAAAACATCATACTAAGTGTAACAAAGAAATAAAGTTATATGTGCCATTCGTTCCTAATCATTTTGATATACAGTTGATCATTGCAGTATATTATACATTGACAATTATTAAATTAAAAGTTTGTTAACAGTGTCTGAAAATGCTAATTGCAAAAACAATTATTTATTGGAAAGATGTTTTATATTATAACTCCGTCAGGGCAAGTATCACTTCACGTTTTAGAAAAGTGCGTCTTTGCTAGGTTAGAATATTTACATTTGCTACATGAGGGCAAAGCTCATGAATTTAGTGGTAATTTTGAATATTTATTAGAAAATTCAATCTATGATAAAATTGGACATTTTACATTACGGTAAGTTCTTACATAAATAGTTACAATAAGTGTTTTGTAAAGACATTCCTTTTTTTATTACGCTATTTAACGATCTAATAATTTTTTAACGAATAACTAAATTATTAAAGTTAATTTCGTAATTAATATAATTATTTTAGATTATTAGCATCGGTGTCACAAGATCTATGTAATTATTGGATTACTAGGGAAATATTATTATTTGAAACTAGGTTAAATTATATTTTACCTCGACAGTTACATAGATTATTCAGAAGCATCTTGCGTCAACTAAGATTACTCTCAGATAAAGAAAAATTGATTAACAGAACATTAATTGACATATGTAGTTTGTTTTCAAAATTATATGTTTTTAATCACCTTGTATCAAAAGATCATTCAAAAGATTGTAATCTTTTCGTAACTAAAGGTATGTATAATGTTCTATATATATATATATGCCTATTTACAAATAAATGAAATAATTTTAATAACTTCATCCATTTAAAAATTACATTTATTTTAAACTTTCAAGTGAGATATGAACTAGTACCAGATTTAATCAAGGAAAGAAAATTAGATTTGAATGCAGGATATGCTATTGTATACTGCTCGAAATGGAAAAATATATTAACGTCGTTGTTTTCCACTTATATGACCAAAGAATTATCATGCATAAAATCAAAAGCACAATATACAATAAATCATGATACCAGACTTGATTATTTGTATCACAAGGTTCATTGTAAAATATTTCAAGTAAATCATGTATATGGACATATAACTAGAGAAAATATAGATATAGAAGTAAAATATTTTCCACCTTGTATGCAACATTTACATACAAAACTACGGAATACACATAGACTTAGCCATTATGCTCGTTTGTATTATAGTCTGTTCTTAAAAGATGGTGGAATGCATTTAGAAGATGCTGTGAATTATTGGAAGGAAGAATATTCCAAACCCCATTCCTGTTCTTCTATTTGCTCACATAATTGGCAATCAAATGAAAAAAAATTTATATACAGTATTAGGCATCTTTATGGTTTAGAAGGATCTAGAAGAAATTACAAGTCACCCACTTGTAATTCAATGTGTGTAAGTAAAACTTTTTTATACCATAAAATTCCAATATTTAATTCAAACAGATTTTTTTTTTAATATGTTATTAGATGAATATATCAAGTCCTATGTATGAAGGAGGATGTCCATTTAAACATTTTGATATAAATACTTTGAAAAGTCTTTTATGCTTGTCATTATCAGATGATAAAGTAACAGAACTATTGCACACTATATCTTCTGACAATCCTCAAATTGCTTGTGCTGAATTTTTCAAAATACTAAATCAATACAGTAACAATGATATTGTTATCAGTAGTCCTTTACAATATTATTTAACAATGATTAATCAAATTTAAGTGCATGAAATAAAAATTATTCTTAAGAACATATAATTAATTTTGTATTTATATTACTCAAGATTTCAAATGACATAATTTTTATTACATATAGTATTTTAACATACAATGTTATATTACATAATACTGTATTGCATAAAAATTAAAAATAATATTTAATTTGCTACATAAATTTTCCTAAAACCATAAATATTAAAAATTTTTTAAAGCATTTTCCACAAGTGCAACAGTTACACCACTTTGTACAAATATACAAGTAACACCAAGTCTACCTACATCAGCAATATTTCTTTGTTCGTCATCAAAAAATATCATGTTTTTGTAATCAACACCAGATGCTGCTTGAATTCTGTTAAAGAAATAATTCATCCCAAATTTTTATTATAAAAGTAGAAATAAATAAAGTTATTTGAAATCAAAGTTAACAGATTTTTAACTAGATTTTATTAAAACTTACTTAGAAAAATGAGTTAATTTACTTCCTGGATAAATTTCTTTATATTTGAAATATTTCTCCCAGTTAAACAGATTTAATAACTGTTTAGCACCTTGGATTTCTGATGTACGAGATGCAACACCAAGCTCATACCCTTCTTCTGATAAATGCTTTAAAACTTCAGGTACTTCTTTATAATATCTTATAGTTTGACCATCAAAATCCACTACATTACTTCCTTTCCTTAAACAGTTTCAATAGAAATTTGTATTTCTATAATCAGGAAATATTAAAATTATACTGTTTAAAACTTACTTTTTGAAAGGTGGAGTAACATTAGTATCAACCCAAAATGGCCACAAAGTGTAATCTGAAATTTAATTAAATTACTACTCTATTTATTTCATATTTAATTTATATAATGAAAAGATAAATAACATTTCCTAAAAGGAACAGTTTTTAACCTAAATCAAAAATAATTATTTTTGGTTTCCGGTTTGTTTGACACATTTTTGATTTAAGCCTTTATTGTCTATAACCTTAAAGTAGTGTTAATTAACCCACTGTCAGTCTAGTGAAAAATTTTACCAAATGAAAGAAACGTAAACGTTTATAATACGATATGTAAAACAAAATTCGTCATTTTATATAAATGTTACTATAACGTTGTCGAAACTGACAAATGTAAAACTCGCCAGGACTAACCGTGAGTTATATTAGTTCTATAAAAAGTTATACTATTTTATAATTTGTGTGCATACATTTACAATATAATTTCTGTTTCAAATTGAAAATGATAACACGTTGTTTCTACATAATTCCGTATGTAAAAACCGTTTAAAAATATACTAAAAAGTAGTACTAAAACAGTACTATGCCAATGTAGTAACAGTAGTAGAAGAAATTATTTCCCGTTCAATAAGGTTAAAAAAAAGTTTATCATCTATAAGTAAACTATATAATGTTATTTAAATTTCATTTTATACTTTTTGTAAAAAATTTTCGAAAGTACTTAAATTTTCATGTACGCGAAAATTTGGATTTCTTCAAGTAACCAATAACATTAAATTCCTATATTTCGTTGCGACCAATCATAAATTGAATGCATGTTAAGGCGATTTTCTAATTTATGTAAACCTTAAATTTTGTTCATCCTGTTCGGTGGTAGCGTCAATCTCGTTTAGCGAGTTTGTAGAACATCGTGAAGTGTTGATTGAAAATAATTATTAAATTTATCATAAAATTATTATTTTAGATAGTAGAAACATCTGAAGGTATACACGTACGTTGTATTTTTTTTGTACAATTAACAGTAATAAGTATTAATGCTCTTTGTACATTATAAAGATTACGAACGTATAATTTTGTTCCATTGCACGTTATTAGTGTTGTTTTTATCAAATTATATGGGTGCTTAAATCAATTATAGCCGGCTTTGTATATCAGTATTAAAGAGTATACTATGATTACGTTAATTTTACAAGAATAATATAATTTCTTATATGTTACTAAGATTGACTTTAATAAATTATATTATTAATTGAAGTAATTTTTTAATATTTGTAAGTGCACTATTCGGCATTTTTAGTTCATATTTCTGTCTTAGTTGTGAAATATACTTAATTGCAGTAGCTTTCAATAGTTTTTAAGTAATAGCCAAATGCTTTAGTTATTTCTTTTTTAATATTGGATTTTATTTAAACATTTTCCTAAGCTATATTTTGTATATTCGTTAATAATAGTGATTCTGCATTTATATATCCAAGGTGCCTCAAATTTTTTCCTGACAAACTTTGCTGCTATGTTCTATGGGTATAAATAAGAAAAAAATGTTATATAAACATAGGTCTTTTGAAGCTTTATTAAAATGTTATAACAAAAATACAAAATGTGAAGGAAACGGTAACAAATTTGCACTTACTATGATACAACACAAGAATGGTATTTGAAGAAATTACATTCATCATCTTCAATGAGTTCAGATAATAAATACATCTCACCTAAACAGATTAGATGTAATTATTCCTGATATATTCCTACTTTGTATCATAGTACTTGTAAATCTGTTATCATTCCATTCATATTTCATATTTTTGTTATAATATTTTAATAAAACTTCAAATACCTATGTTTATATAACCTTTTTCTTATTTATACCCATAGAACATGCTGACAAAGTTTGACCAACAAAATCTGAGACACCTTGTATAAATTTCTGAAATATGTGATCCTGCATTTAGTAATGATGCTTACTTTATTTGCTCATATATATGTGTATATGTAAATATATATATATATATTTTTTTTTAATCCTACTAAAGTGTTGTGCACAATAAATATAATATCTTGTATTACAGAAATGTCTGAATCGGATCTTTTAACTACTGATCATATTGACGGTCTAGATGGTCTCGAAAATGGTCAAGATGGAGATGCTATTATGCAGTGTGATGGAGTAAAACGAGAATTAAGTGAAGCAAATATTGATGATCCGGTATTTTGTTTAATTTTGTTATATATTTTATATACAATTAATAAATACATGTTGTTACATGTTTTTTTATATTATTATCTTATGTGAAATTTATCTCTTGTGTTACAGGAATTAGAAGCTATTAAAGCTCGTGTTAGAGAAATGGAAGAAGAAGCAGAAAAATTAAAACAGTTGCAATCTGAAGTGGACAAACAGATGAATATGGGTAGTCCACCTGGAATAAGTAAGATATAGATTGCATTAATTTCTTGTATAATTAATAATTAATATTATGATTCTTTTACATAAATTTTTGTATATAAAAGTGTTTTATATAATACTGTTTTCTTACCTTTCAGCAAGTCCATTAAATATGTCACTTGAAGACAAAATGGAAGTTGATAATAGATCCATCTATGTTGGTAATGTAAGTTACTATTTTGTTTAAATTGCAATAAGTATTTATTGTTTTAGTTGATTAAACAAGTAATATTAAATTTGCAAAATTAAAGGTTGATTATGGCGCTACAGCAGAGGAATTGGAGCAACATTTTCATGGTTGTGGCAGTGTTAATAGAGTAACAATATTGTGCAATAAATTTGATGGACATCCCAAAGGTTTTGCTTACATAGAGTTTGCAGAACGTGATTCTGTACAAACAGCTATGGCTATGGATGAATCTATGTTTAGAGGGCGTCAAATTAAAGTAATGCCTAAAAGAACAAATAGACCTGGACTGTCAGTGACAAACAGGTGCTTGAGAAATATATTGTATTTAATATGTTTTATGTGTAATGTTACTTAGGGACAATAAACACAATATGTTTAAATAATTTTTAGGGGACCACGAGGAGCACGAGGCTACCGAGGTATAGCCAGAGGAATCATACGTGGTAGTGCATATTTCGGATATAGACCTACAAGGAGACCTAGGTATTTTTTACAATTCAACACATCTTCAATTTCAACAATTCGAAATTTTTTTTAAGATTTTTTTGTATATAGGAGTTACAGACGAGGTTACTACATGCCGTATTGACCGTTTTAAAGAATTGTACTGCAATTTTACGAATTCAGGTAAGTTTTTACATTATTGTGGTTTATATTATAATTTATTCTTTTTTTTTTTGTGATTGTTCAAACATAAAATATCTGATGAAAGCATAATCAATAACTTTTTATATATGTTAAACATGCGTATTCGAAATACATTTTGCATTATGCAGTTGCTGCAACATTAGAGATCTGTTGGTTTGGACAATCAATTTATGTATTATAGTATGTCACATTTATAGGAAAAGCTGGTGAAGTATTGATTCTCAGAAGTAGTATTATTGCAAAATTAGAAATAGATAAATAATTAAATAAAAAATTACCATAATATTCACTAGCTATTCCTGAATGAATGTAAAGTTATTATTTTTTCAGTGTCAGTTATTGTATGTACTAGATCATTGTCTTAATATTCTGATGTATCTATATGATTTAATTTAAAAAGTTATACATTTTGATGTTATCATTTAAAATTGAAAATATTAAAAAATATCCATTTATTTTCTGCAGTGGATATTATGAAATTCATATCTAGATACATTGGCTTTCTTAGGAAATATTATACTTTGTGCTCTAAATTTTCATTCAGTTTTAACACTTGGTCATATTTTAAATGTTATTCACAATGTAACACCTATGTTGAAATAATACATTTATAGAGTTGTACATGTATACATAACTTTGTATTTTAACTGTACTTTACAGAGAAGTATAATTATATAACAATTTGCTGTTTCGTAAATTTTGCAGATATAAATATTTTGTGATATTTTTAAGTTACATAATAATTGGTGTTCAAATATTATAGAGTATGGCCACGTGCACTGTAACATTAGATATTGTAAGTTTTTGTGCATATCTTATTTATAGGTTACACAAAACTTACATATTTATATGAACACGCATTACACTATCATGCAGCTAAGGTATTTAAGTAAATTCTTATGATATGTCCACAGAAAAAAAAACTGATACGATGGGAAAAAAAAAGAGAAAGAAAAAACCTCATGTCAAAAGAAAAAAAAAAGATTGGACAAAGATGGGCACAATTAATCATATTTGATTTAATAAATCTTCATATGAAAATTATAAATGTAGATCAGCGATAATTTGCTATTGCAGTTCAATTATGTTTTTACTTAATTAAAAATGAATTTCAATCAATTCCGTAGTATCAGCCTTTATTAGTTTCCAAGAACTTCAGTTTATTTAGATTACAAAAATATATAAATCATTGGAATGTTAATAATATTATATTAATATATATTTAAAAAATGCACTGAATGGGTGTGTATACATACACACGCGTGCATCTACACATATACACATACACACAAATATATATATATATAACTATAAATATTAAATATTATTTTAGCACAAAAAACTGTAATCATTAACCTGTTATGCATTTTGAACAAAATTTACATTTGTATCTTGAGTTATTATAAAATAAAAAATGTGTCATTCCTTTTTATGCATATCTAAATAATTGTAAGGTACCATCGTTTGTAACTTATAATGCTTTTCTCTTTGTAATTATTTCTTCAACTTACCACAACTTGAGTACTAATTTCTTAACAATCACTGTAGAATATTTTCGAAAATATAATCATTTTTGCATTTTTATGACTGGCATGTTAATATTTATAATAAGATTAACATATTTTTCTCATTTGTTAAAATAATAATTCAGTTGAACTTTAATGAAATATTAAATTTACATTTGCATTTAAAATGATATATTTTTTCCAATTTAAACCAACGTAATATATAAAAAGGATCACCGATTTTAAATGACATAAAACTAATTGTGACTGTTAATAAGGATGATAATGGCATTAAATATATTAAGATAATATTAAATTGTACACAAAGAGGACAATTTTTGTAGTATACGCGATATGAAAAAAAGTATATTAGCGGTTTAGAAAATGATTTTAACAAATTATAATATAGCAATAATAATTTTAGAAATATTTTTGGTATAATATAAAGGCTGATATAATTGTGACTAACATCATGTTCACAATGCGGCAATCTAAGTATTGTTATTACAGTATAGTTTTAATATATTCGTAATAACTATGTAGCAATGTCTATTCAATGATTTCAAATTTCTTAGTTCTATAAGCTTATATTCAAGACTATATTTCAGACATGAAATAAAAAGAATTGAACTGCAATGTAAATATCTAGAGTAAATACCACATTACTATAATTTATAGTAACTTTTGTATGCACAGTAAGTGAAAGTTGCGAAACTTATAAATTGTTATAACTTCTATAAAAAATGACATATATTAATACTAATATATGCAACTTTCATTTATTTATTACTAACTATACATCCTCAATTTTATCTCAAACATATTGCTACTAATTTGTAAGATGCGTGTAAAATGTTTTTGAACTATTAATCCATTGTGCTATGATGTTAGGAGGAGAGCCAAGTTTCCACACATTAATAATCGAACCACATTTCGTAACGTTACTTCCATGTCGCTAAGTATTTTGCAGGTGCAGTGCAGCATCAGCATCAATTGAGTGATAATCATACAAATTTCATGAACAGTTTTTACGTTCCATTAAAAAAAGAAATAAAGAAAGAAAAGAGAAAATAATTAAGATATAAGTGTAACATATAAATGTAACATGATTGGGTGGTCAATAAAGATTTTCTTGGCTTAAAAATCACATATTGAATGTTTTATTGGGTTCATATATATTCATATTATTATTATAAGGAATGGGTTAAATAAAATTAACTTCGGGAGATTAGTGATTTGCGTTTATTAACATTCAGTAGCATTTAAATCGCCATTTTTACATTTCAGATCAACAGTTAATGTTATCAGAAGGATAAATTTTGTTCATACAAATTAATACTATTTTAGTAATAGATATAATCAGAATATTGTTATATTTGTTTTATTAGAAATTTGTATTTCTTTATATCTCTGAAGGCATGTAAATGCACAATTAATCTCTAAAGATTCCTCAATTAATGGAAAGGTGTAGGTGTTAACAGAAGAAATTGAAGACCTGAATACAAAATATTAAAAGTATAACACAACAAAATATTTACTACTGTATTTCATAATGATTACATAATAATGCAAACAAATTAATGTCTGAAGCATATTATATTTATAAGATCCTAGTCTAATAATCGTTTTTTTCACATTATTAACGATAACATTCAGTTGCGAGTTATATAGTATATACTGATTTTTTAATAACACGTCTAACATTATTACTCCTTTTAACGACAGCAAGATTAACGGTAGTAATCTTAGAAAAAATAAAAATACTTCAAACATGTCAGTAAATCATATAAATTTTGCAACAACATACTTAATTACTGAATTTATTAGACTAGAACCTTAAATATTAATTATATTTTGTAACTTTATAATATTAAACGATATAGTTCATAATAGATATTTAAATTAATTCTCCAAACGTTAGCACTTACTCATTAATTTTTTTTTTTTCTTTTTTCAATTCATTAAACCACTTTAAAACATTACAAATATTAGACATAATGCAGTTAACAATTAAAAATATAATAATAATATTAGAACATTAAAAATTTGTCTCATCTAAGCTCAATGTATATCTTCAAATATTTAATTGTATTTTTGTATAGTAATCAGGTTTTAAACGTAACTTATACTATGTATTCAACATACTTTTGAGTATGAGGTCTATGCATAATATATTTTATGATACACAGAGTTACTTTTCATAATTCAGGTCCTCAATTTAAATCTATAGAGTTTAATAGCAATATCCTGGACTTGTATCATTTCAGTCCTCTTTTGATAAATATCCGTGTTCACATAACAGTTTTAATTATTTGGTCTAAAGAACAGGATATAAGATTGCATTGAGATAAACATTGACTAGTATACCAACTTCGTGGTACGCAAATTTTGTTTTGGAAGGCAATAGTGATCGTTAAGAATTTAATCCAAGTGTTTCAAGAATTGATTGACATAAACTTTGCAAATTTGGTTTTGTTGTATTTTCTGTATGCGTACTTTCCAGGTATTTTAATATCTCCACAACACGTTCTTTGATTAACATACTGCAGTATCGTTTTGCTACAAAATTGTAATAGTGCAAACATAAGTTAACATGTGAACAATATTTTTGTTATTGAATTATTCTACGATTATTTGTAATATTATATTATTTTAAATATTTATTCAAAGGAATTATGTTTCATGCGTAAAAAATATTTTTATACTTACGATTTTTTGTGCATACATGATGTATTGCCCAAGCTGCCCAAAGTTGAACGGGGTACGCATCGAAACAACGCAGAAGTGGAAAAAATGGTTGAAAACTTCTATATGCAACCATTTCTCCTTGCGGTGTTTGCCAATGAGTTACAGTATGAGCTAATTGTTCTAATAATTCATCTCTACTTATTAGTGATGATATAACCCATGCACATGGACCATCACTAAGCAAATGTGCGGCAATACCTGCTGCGAAATAAGATACATCAATGTGTGTAGATGTTAACAACACAGAAAGCATGGAGATGAATCTAGGTTGCAGGAGTCTTGGTCTTAAATGAACCACCTACAATGAGTCACAAAATATAGTCAATTATATTAACTGCATTCATGATTATTAATTATATTACATAAAGAATAATTATTTATACAATAATTAAGGCTAAATTTACTAAATTAAGGTAATTAAATTTAATACTTTATTTGTTTTAATTTATAAAATACAAACCTCTGCTATATTATTTAATAGACCAAGTACTTTAGTTTCAACACTGGATTCTCCTTGAAAGCTTTCCAGCACTTTAAGAAATAACTCCATTCCACCTTCATAGAGAAAGACTTCACATGTTGTAGCACTTTCATCAGTTAAATTCCATAAAGCACTTAATGTAAATTTCATTGTTATATCTACTGATTTAGATTCAACTTTAGACCTAACCATTGCTAGCAATTTGGACATATACTGAGGTTGAGCACCAAGCATAGATGTTTCTACAGTTGATATTTTTGCTGCTAATATTGAGCAAATAGCAACTGACATACGATTCATTGATGGTTCATTGAAAGTTGATAAAGAATTTAGCACTAATCTTGCACATCTATACAAATGAAAAATAATTTAATTATAAAGTATTGTTATAGATTTAAATGGTGCATTAAAAGTTGAATATAATTATACATTAGTAAATATATAATATTAAACATAAATAAAGTAGAATAGTGACAAAAGTGACAAGAAGTGACAAAATTTGTTACATTCATAGTTTCACTGAAATAAAATATGTTAAATTAAAATACACATATTAATTTTATAAATCTGAAATACCTGTATTTGTCAAAAGCAACGTCCTGCAGAATTCTATCACTACATAAAATCAATAATGTATTCATCTGAAGTCTGTAGTTAGCTGGATAAGATTCCATTGCTATCATTGTTAGTTCAACAACTTGTTTAAGTATTGATGGGTGAATCACGATGGCAAATTCACCTTTAGTAAGATTATAAAGACATGCAGTGCATGGCACTTGTACACGAACTTCCTGTGGATGTTCTCTCATTCCAGGTAATACTAACTTTATAACGTCAACCCGTGGTTCAAGAAAATTGTGTGTTAAACGGAATAAATTAAATAAACATTTTTCAAGATAAAGCGGTCTGCATGTATACCTTCTGAGAGCTTCTAAAATTTGAGATTCTGATGCTGTACCACTAACCTAAAGTGAAGATAAATATTTTACAGTGTTATTTTCAAACATTTCTACTTGCAAAGATACATTTCTGATTTATATAGTAATATAGATATTATTTATTTTATGCAAAACAAAAAGTACAATATATTATTGCGGTAGCTTTTTCAGAAAATAACTTTTTCTAATTACTTTTATTTTACAATTTTTTGCTTTATAATCAATTGCCACAAATATCACATAGTTATAGTTAGTAATTGTTTATTTATACAGTATTTTAGTACTACTTACAACAAGTTCAGACCTATAATCTTCATTTGTTCGAGTTATTAAACTGTCAACATAACAAGCATCTGTACTTACAAGTCCCAAAAACCTCAAATATGGATGAGCTTTAATAAATTCTTTTAAATCTTTTGGATCTATATCACCCTTACCTATGTTAAATGTTAACACAGAAAAGATTATATATTATATAGAAACAAATAAAAATAATAAACTATGTGATACTTACCAGATAAATCTAAATTAGTTAGATATGGCATACAATGTACAGCTTTCAAAAAGTCTGTTATTTTTGGTTTTGCAGGCCCTAACACAGAGTTAAGAGCATGCATATCTTTTTCATCTGAAATATCTAAGTTTCTTAGTTCATTTAGTTCCAATAATACTGAGATTAAATTTGCACTTTCATCTATTTTTAAATTATACATATTAAGAGTTTTTAGACGGTTTTTACACTTTTTTAGTGGTGTTATATCATCAACCTTTGTACATGAAATATCTAAACTTTCTAGAAGAGGAAGATCTTCAACAACTATTTCCAAACCATGTTTATTAAATTCTGTTCCTGATACATTTAATGTATGCAGTGCCCTCAATTTGCTTAATGTTACAATGACGCAATACCTGTTACAAAATACACAAACTATTCATAAATGAAACATTTTATTTATTTATAAATATAATAAATTAAGATTTTGTACACTCCAGTCACCTAAACAACTTATCAGGTCATTGACAGTTATTTTTAACCCATTTACAACCAGATGTATCACTTTATGTTGTTTTAAAACTTTTAACCCCTTTGCTGATAATGCAGATGCATCTTTTAGTCGCACATGTCTATGAAAAATCATCATCAGACAAAGTTTTCTTCTCACACAAGTTAGACAATAATTGTTCCGAAATTTCAGCAGGTAAAAAAGCATCTGAATGTCTAAAACTAAGTCTTGTTGCTGAACTTGATGACCCATCATTAGATGCCCTAGCTGTTGTTGCACCCAAAATATCTGTATTATTATTATGTACTGATGAATTAACTTGCTGATCTAAAAATTTTATACTTTACAACAAATTATTATATTAAAATGACTTTTACTAACTGTACTGGATAGTTAAACTCACTTAAGAACAAAGTAAAATATAACTAAAGTACAAGATAATCTAAGAAATATTTTTTTAAATTATAATAAATAATAATACTTACTACAAGTACTTGCATCTGGTGAATTAGGGGAATGTTCTCCCGTATCACCAAGGTGTACTTCACATAAACCCAAAACATTGTTACAGATGAAATCAATGCAAACCTCACGGAGGCTTCTCGGAGACTCAAACATTTTATGTTCTTATTTACACACAACTATTCTTCCTGTATTTCCTTTATTGCTCTTTAAATATTTAATTATTTCAAGTGATTTAATATGTATGTCTATACATCTGATACACTATATTTAGAATGTTAACCATTTTAATATTAAATATACACTATACAATTAAATAAACCAACTTTGTTAAATTTTAATACATTTGTCACCCGGAAAAATTAAACCACATGCAATTTAATTCTCTTATGATAACAAAACATTAAAAACATGCTACACCTGTCTCACTTAAAAAATGATTTACAATTGTATACGCGTCGATACCTAAAGGAAATGTCAAAAAGGAACCACGCACATAATTTTATTCCTAGCACACAAGTGACAGAATTTTAAATGATGATTACGTAATGACAAGTCCATAGAATGGAATAAATATTTGTGTCACTATGCATCTAAGCACATTGCGTATAACACGTATTGAAAGGAACCTGTGAAATTGAAAAGTTATTTATTAAATACACCAAACTTCATTACACGAATGTGACATTTTCAAAAAATTACTAAATTATTTTATAAATATATTTGCAAATAGCACTGAAATACAACTATAAAAACAACCGCGGAAAATCGTAGTCTCTCACCTGTGGAGAGAACGCCATATTGACTTGGTAAATGTCAAAACAGATTAAAAAGGATAAGATATAGATGCATATTGTTGAATACACGACATGATTATCAGATATAATGATATATTCAAAGATTAAAACCATCAATTGTAATTTATTTATTCAAATTAATTCTGACAATCGTTCTATGTGATATTTGATGATTTTGAACACACATACCTCAATATCAGGGAAAACTGACATTTTTACTATCCTCATTGAAATAGTTTATTGTATAAAGAATATTTGTATATAAAACTTAGGACATTCCTTAGTAATTAAAGTAACTTTTTCATGCTTAAAGACATAGTGAAGTGAGTGTAAATTCTACTTGTAAGGGAATTCATCGGTTATTGACACATTATCAATATGGCGGTAAAGTGGAAAACGATGTGCTTTTCAGTATGTATTACGATTTCACTCTTGTATAGTAAGAATTTTTTTCAGGTATGATTATAATATTTACATAAAGTCTGTTTAGAAGTACTTGTTGGTAGCGAATTTAATGACCAATTTGCGTTGCAGAATAACAATAGTGTTTGATTCTAAGATTAAAGGATTAAAGGATATCAAAGATATTAATTTAAAATGTAAATTTCCAATTTAAAAAGTTGTACAATTATTACTTTAACCATTCAATCATTTACTGTATTATATTTGCTTTTTCAAGCATACATATAAACATTGTAATTATAAACTCTTAAATTCTTTTGAAATGACAAAATTTAATTTATAATTATAATGTGTATTTTTTTTTCAAGGTTTAAAGAAGAACGTGTTTTTCAAGACAATATTATGGTTTAAATATACCAATATATATTGATAATTTTATAACATCATGTTATATATGTGGTATTGATTGTTGTTTCACTTGTATTCAAATTTAATTTCCTAAAAGAATGCCAAGCTTGCGGAAAAAGGTTGCTGGTTTTATGCGACAACTATCCATTAGTAATTTGGCTGGAGCTGTAGAAAATATAGGCCAAGGGGAACAAACTTTACGTAGTCCTAGATCATTAACTCAAGATTTTACAAGTGGCTGCTTTATTACACGATATCTTGATGGGTAATAATTATTTTGAAATACTTTTTATTAAATAATATTCCAAATACATAATAATGCATGTTTTGTACTTTTAGCTTAGAAACAAAGCAAGAAGGACCAGCAATTGTGCATGGTAGAAATCCAGAAGAATTACCAATAAGGCAGCTTGGAAATTTTCAGGAAGGTACAGATGTATTTGCTGCTCATACTGGTCCAGATAATGGACTTACAGCTGTTAACGTACAACAAAGACATTTAAGTATTAATGATATTGATATAGACTACATTGATATGTTAGATCAAGGTGAACAATATAGAAATAGTAAGTATTAAAGACACTATTAAAGTATGAAATAATAATATATGTGCATGAAAAAAATAATTTTATTTGTAGCATCAACAACAACTCCTACAATTGCTGGTATTGCTGATTGGTTTAATCCTCATGAAATGGCTTATGGAATTGCTACTACATTATATGAAAAAAATCCTACAAATAACACAAATAATGGGGAACCAATAGCAGATTGTTTTGGTATTGTAGCAAGATCAAATTCAGCTATTTTAGCACTTGCTGATGGTGTTAATTGGGGTATGATAAAAAATAGGTACCAAAGCAAGTATTGCAGCCAGATCTGCAGTACATGGAAGTATAGAATACTTAAATAAAGCACTTTTCTGCCCTTCAATTAACGGTGAAATGACTACAACGAAAGACGTTTTTATAGCACTACTTCGTTCATTCCACGCTGCACATTCGTTAATTTTGCAAGAACAAGGAATGCTTACAACATTAACTGTGTGTGCAGTTCTTCCACTGCCAAATTCAGATTCTAATACAGAACAAAATAAATATATAGCATGTACCTGTAACGTTGGTGACAGTTTAGCCTATGTGTATT